CTTTGTTTTACATAAAGGTGAACTAAATAAAGAGCTCACATCATTTCCACAATGTTCTTGGTTTTCTTCTTGCGTTAAAGACGAAAAATCACCAGCATTTTGCATCAAATACTTGCATTGATCCTTCTTCCAGGGAGCGATGTGAGCCGCGAGCAGAGTAGTTCTGGAACTGTGTGAGCTAAGCGAACACATGATCCCGCCCAATCATGGGGCCACACTACGCCAAATCATCTTCGTATTTCAGCAGCACGGTATTCATGAACCGGTCCCCGTCCTAGGCAGCAATTGATGGAGCTGATGGCTGCGATTCTTGTGAATGTTTCCAGCAGCCAAATTTTTTGATCGCTTTGGTAACTCGAAATACTGATCGACTTTCAGAAACTCAAATTAGCATACCAGTAGCAGAGATTAGCATACCTTGATCTAGTATATAAAGCAACTCCATTGCAGTTTCAAAAGATGGCTTAAAAGCGGAGAAGATGGGCTGTGGTTGTCTTGGTTTGGTGACAATTGGTTAGGGTTTAGGGTTTAGCCGTTTAAAACCCTAAACTTTGAGCTCCAGATGGAGGTGAGTCTTGTCTTGGTTTGTCTTGGTCTGGTGGCAAGAATTTGATCAATTTTTTATCCCATTTTCCCATAGCCTAAATGGCTGCAAGCACCAAGATTCCCAGTTTTATTTACACAAAAACCTCCTCTCGCTTTTCATCTTGCTTCTTATATTTCTAAGTAACTAAAATACCTATTAAAGTATATTTAATGTTCTTAAATTTAGTATTTATTTGATTTTATACATGTAGACTTTTTGAAATTGAACCAAAAAGCGTTTTCAAATATAAAACTTAATTTCTTAAAATGTTTTTTATGTTATATTATGCACTCAAAGTTAATTATAAATGACTAATTTTTTTATTCTACTTTAGCTACTAAAACACACATAAATAAAAGCCTTATAATCTCCATAAGTCCTTATCCCAACTTAGGATGTTTCTTAAAACTCAAAAGATAGCTTCAAATTCACATTAAATTCACACCTAACCCTCTAAAGGTATCATTGATTATTAGTTTCTTACATTAAAGCTATATTTATTTTCATTATCTTAATTGCTAGTCCAAGACCACTTGCACTATAAACCCATCTCTTTAAAACAAAACCATCCTTTCCATGAAAGCTCACTTTATAACCATTTCCTTAGTAGCTCTATGATATGAGGGAATATTATCCTCTAATATCCTTTATTTGATCCCTATAAAGCTCCTTTTTAATCATAATAGTGCTTATTAACACCATCACTAAGTCAAAGTCTAAAAACCTATCTAATAAATTTCATTAATCCATGGGACTTCCTCTTCATGTAACCATATTTTTTATTACTAAGCAAGAGGACCATTCATTTTCCTTTCTACAATCAAGGATTTTCAAATACCACTTCAAAACACTATAACCCAACATAAGCCTTATGGATATATTCACCTTCCATCACAATATTGCCTCAATTATGTGGCTAAAATGAAATTTTGGTGAGCCATATAAAGTATCCAAGTAGGTAATGTCACCCAATTCGAATTATAGGTGGCACTTTCAATCCAACTACTAAATATCTAAGAGGTATATAAAGTACCCTAGTGATGTGTTGAATATATTTAGGGCCAAATATCAAAACATATCTAAGAGTGTTAATTCACCCCACCCCTATCAATCATTCAAACTCTTGGAGGAAATAATATTAATTGTCCATTTATGTTTACTTTAGCCTTAGACTCTTCACTCATTAAGTAGGTATAACTTTCTTTTACTATTAAAATCCTCCCTTTACTATCTCACAAAAACTTACAAAACCTTTTAAAGTCTGAGAGATGATCACTTTAGGCTTTCATCCCACCCTTTAGACATATTTAGGTGATATTTCATAATGAAGTGAGATAGTTTTAATATCATTCTTGTAAACAACCAAAGAGAATAACTCAAGAGAGGATCTATAATAGTTCAAATATTAAAAAAAAGGCCTATAAATAAGAGTATATCCTCTATTTCAATTAATTAAAAAACTTTTAGGATACTGTTCTTGGGTTTTAGTAGTATTAGATTGGGTGATTAGAAAATTCATAATATTTTCATTAATCAAGAATAAAAATTAGGGGCATAAAGATGATCAAATACCATTTTAGTCTCAATTATAAATGCATTTTGAGCTTAGTGTCATAGTAGTAAATATAGTTTTGCTAACTAATCTTTACTAAAGTTGGATATTTTTTAGTTGCTTTTGTATTACGTATTGGTCATTCTTTTGTCCCTTTTTGATATTTGTTTATCAATCATTTCATTCTCATTCTTCGGGTGTTTTCTTAAGAGTTTTATTCTCATTCTTAAATTGTCCAAATCAAACTTGAGTTTTTCTTTAGAAGTTTTATTTCCACATTTCAATTTTCCAAATTAGAGCTTTTGGTCCAAACATGTTATATTTATTGGACTTCTACCTTAGTTATTCCCATATGGCAGACATTTAATTCTACTTTGGGATTTCGGGATTTATATTTCATATTAATATTTGGTTTCAAAAATGAATTACTTTATACATTAAAAGGTTATTAAAATTAAAGGAGATAGTTATAACTAAAGAATAGTAAGTGGATTTGAATAGTTTCTTATAATTATTATTATTTAATTAAAATGATAATTTAGTAAAAGTTTGAACCTTGAAAAACTTTAAAGATTATAAGTAGCTTTAGAAATTGAAAAATATTCACTCAGCTCTATTGTTAAGTTTAATAGTCATGGTAGGTTTAATCTTAAAGGGATAGTGTATATTTATTCAATACATTAATATAATTATTGAAAGAATTAACAATTTATATTTTTCAAGATAGAAACATATTAATTTATATTTTTTATTTATTTTTATTAATTAGACCAAACACTTCACACAAAAATATATATTATAAAATATTTTTTATTCTTTTTATAATATTATTTTAATAAAGAAATGGGATGATTGACGATATGAAGCAGCATAACTCAAATTAATTATTTCCTAACAAAATAAACAAAAAAACTTTTTTAGAAAAATAAATTCTTACAAATTCCTACTTTTCAAGTTCAATTTAATCCTTTATTCAATGTTATGAGAAAAATGGGGTAAAAACTTATTTAAGCATTTTTACTAATTAAAATATTAAATTATTGATTAATTAAATTTATATTTTTAAATTTATTTTTAGTCTATGGTTTTATTTTTTTCCTAATATTTAAATTATATATATAAAACTTAACATTTTTTAATATACAAGTCATAATATAAAATTTGTTACTACCATTATTATTTGCTAGAGGATATGTTGGTCAAAAAAATTAAATTAAATAAGTTAAAAATAATTGTTATCATTGAAAAAGTGTTCAAAACTGTGTGTAAAATACATAAAAAAGGTGTGATACATAAAATATTAAACCAAAAAACATCTTTTTAGGGTTTAAAAAGAGTTGTTTTATACTAGTTTGATAAAAAAAATCATTTAATCGAAATAATTTGAAAAAGAGATTTAAATTTTTATATTTTGGCAACGTAATAAACTTAAATTTTATATTTAAGAAACTCATTCCACAACTTTTTTTTTAGTTTATTTTCTTTTTATAATTATATTTGATAATTTTTTAAGGTCTTCTATAGCTTATAAAAGCTAATATTTTTTTAAGTTGATTTAAAAAATATAGTTTAATAATCTCATTGTTAAATAAAACATAAATAACTTTTATTACTTATAGAAATTTTCTTAAAATTATATTTCTATATAACTCAATTTATGCTATAATAATGATAAAATAAATATTTGTGTATTTATTATGATGAAGTTTTTTTGGGCCTTAAGTATATAATCTTTCTTTTTGCTAAATTTTATTTTAAATTCCAAATTGTAACACATTAGAAATTATTGAATGTATACACAAATGAGCAAACACATTTGTGTGTTTTTGAAAGATAGTAATATTTCACAATCATGTGTTTTAATTTGTATATAATATTTATTTAAATGATTATTTAGAAATATAACATGAGAAAGTGAATTATTTAATTTTTTAAATAGTAAAAAATGAGATGGCACTATTAATAACAAGTTACAATTCAACTTTGAATTTTAATAATTGCATTATGGCACGAAGTGATAAAACTATTACTCCATAATAATAAATAACTAAATTATTATTGATTGTTAAATGAAAATATACTAAGGATTATACTAATGTTTCTAACAGTTTAGAATTGTTATTATTTATAATCAAATTTTAGTTAGTTAGAGTTCCATGGGTGTTTAACAAGTTTTGAACTAAATAAGTGAACTAATTTAATGGGCTGTGAAGTCGGTGAGTGGAGCGCCTTCCGTAACTGGAGGTAAGCGACACTCAATGCCACAAGGCAAGGCGCTGGCAGCTTCCATTGTCATAGGAGAGTTTGATCGCTGATGACAATGGAAGCTCCTAGGCAAAGAGATAAGATTGAGTGTTGCTGGGAGAAACGCTCCGAGGCGAGGATCGATTATTGCTCGCTGGTCTCAGAATACACGCAGGATGGAAAATTCCTGAAAGTACCGATCTTGAGACGATGCAGAGATCCATGCTGCGTCTGACGTGGAAGGGTTGGAGCTCAAATTCTTCGAAAACCATTTGGAAAAATGGTACCTTTGGATCGAGAATACCTCACAGGGAGACTAAACCATCGCTTCTATACAAGCTTACAAGCCCTGCACGATATTACATTAGAACTGAAGATAGAAAATCACAAGATAGAACCTTAAATAGTAGATCGTGAGCTAGTGTCTCCCAGTCGAGTGAAACCGAGAGAAGCGAGCATCTGAGTGGAATCAAGTCCTCATTTGGCCCCGACGATGCAGCTAGATAAGCGTGCTTTGCCGCGTCGGCCGCCTTTCGCACGATGGTACCGATCCCAAGCTTTGCTCCTGGTGCTTCGACTGGTTCCTCGCTGGGATCTGATCGTGGTAGCAGAAAAACAACTTTGTGAATCTCTTCACGTAAAAATAATTCTTGCTACCTGGTACTCTTGTAACAATCACGTCAACTTCGCCACGGCCACCAGGCCCTCGCATCACAAGCCTCTCCGACTTGCCTCCCAAATGTAAAAATCCAAAGCTCAATTTTCCACCTGGAAACTCCGAAGAGTAAGAACGCTACGTAGTGGCTCTATGTGCACTTACTTTCAAAAGCGGAACGCACCATTTCGTAACTTACAAATCCCGAAAACAATGTCACCTGGAACAAGGCGTGAGAAGAATGGTGTGTGACGGAAAAGTATTACCACTGCGCTCGAGCGTGAACCATCTTTTCCTCTTATAAGTCTCCCGGATCCAAATGCCGCTCCTCCCGTGGCGTGAAGGAGAACGCAGTAACAATGATCTTCATTTTTAAGAATCTGCACGAGAAGCATAAGATCAAGACGAGAAGATGACCAAGATTTACCAGGTGTTCAAATGTATCGTCGTGATCATCAACCGAGAAGTAAATGTCGGGATAAGATGACACCGTCTCCGAAGCCTGGAAGTCCCAAGATCAGGAAGACAACGCCAAAACGAAGCACTTACTTTTGAAGACTTTGTTTGAAAATTTGAGCGGCTTGGCGAGGCAAAAACATTTTTTGTGATCTGGAAAACAAGGCATTGTCAAGAAAGAAAAAAAACGAGAAAACAGAGCTGAACCTTATAGATGGATTCCAGAGAACTTCCGGAGGAATTTCGATATCTAAGCAACTCTTCTCGGCTGCAGGATGAGAAAGCGTGAGAGAAACACCAAGCAAATCGTTCGATAAATACCTACAAATCGAAACTGTTAATGTGTATGTTGTGTGCACTACAAGGTTGAGATAAAAGGATCGTCTCCAGTCCACTTCCCGTGTTCTATCTCCAAGAACTTTACTTAGCTGTGGAAGCCAAGAGAGATGCTACTTGAAGAACAAAATGAGAGACAAACCTGTGGTTGCCATCGGCGCACGAAGCATGGCTCCGCGAAGATTTTTCCTTCGTCATTGAATCCACCACCGCCAAATTCTAAGCTCTGGAGAAAACCGAGAAGAAAATCGAGTCTCAATAGAAGAGAAAGAATTTTTTCCGGACACTTACGAGCAAATTCACGAAGAAGAGAAGATCGTCGCTCGTTGTTTTCGACTCCACAAGACCACGGACGAAGAACATGTCCAGCATTTCTTGCCAAAAGTGCGAATCCCCGCTCTCCTCCCCATCGCGCGCGATAGTCTGGCCGAGAGAGCTCGAATACTTGCGGACAATCGCAAGAAGCTCGTCCCTGCGCAAGCGCGAGCTGAGAATCTATTGCCCTTACTAAGTGATCATACCTGGAGGGGGCGCTCACCGACATTTGTTCCTCGCTTTCATGAAACTGGGATTAGGGTTCTTGGTATTATAGGGTTCTTCGCTTCTCTCTTTTCTCTAGTGGCATTTGGCGATGGCGCTCTCCGACGATTCGAGCTGGATGACTGCCGCGCACAGCATGGGCGTAAGTATAGCATTCGATCTCCAGCTGAGCTTGATTTTCCTGTGTCCGCGCGTAGACCACGATCATTGGCGTGGAGTACGCCGACGGTGTTGTTCTTGGAGCTGATTCGCGAACCACAACAGGTACAAAGAGTTTAACTCTTTATCTTTCATTGGTAGCTCCCATTTTTCCTTTGCGCAATCAGGAATCTATGTCGCAAACCGAGCTTCCGATAAAATCTCCAAGCTGACCGACAATGTCTACATTTGTCGATCTGGATCGGTAGCTTGTTTTTGGTGTTTTGTGATTTCTTTGTCCTTATATCTTGTTCCAGGCAGCAGACACGCAAGTAATCTCCGATTACGTTCGTTACCTCCTCCACCAGCACACGTAAGTGATCGATTTTCATGGTTTTCGTTCTCTCTTACTTGTTTGTCTTTATGGATCCAGGATTGTTTTGGGTGAACAAGCAACTGTCAAGGCAGCTGCGAAGCTGGTTAGAGAGATTGCCTACTCGAACAAGGTTTGTTTAGCAGCAGCTTTGACTGATCTATATAAACAGTGTGTGTTGCTTTTAGTCCTTCCTCGAGGCTGGAATGATCGTCGGAGGTTGGGACAAGCACGAGAAAGGTAGCATCTTCGGTGTGCCAATCGGTGGAACTTTACTCCGCGTGCCTTTCACGATTGGAGGTAAATCGAAGCGTGTTTAGAAATTCCAGTTCTTATGCCTTCCCTCTTTCCTGCCAGGCTCTGGATCGACCTATATATTTGGTTTTCTCGATCAAGCGTGGAGGCCAGGAATGAGCAAACAAGAAGCACAAGTATGTCCTCCAAATTTCTCTCCACTTTCCTGATCTTTTCTGGCAGGACCTCGTCGTTAAAGCCGTGTCTCTCGCCATGGCTCGTGATGGCGGCAGTGGTGGCGTCGTGCGAACTGTGACAGTGAGTAGAATGTCGCGAGAACATACTTTCTCTTGTATTAAGTGGAACTTCCTGGTGTGATTTCCAGATAAGCTCGGCGGGCGTGACTCGGGATTATTTCAGCCACGACAGGCTACCAAAGTGGCACGAGGACATACCGGCGGGCGTGTCTACGGCTCTCGAGGCTCTGGAAAATGCCAACGGTGAATGGATGGTTGTCTAGAACCGAATTCAGGACTTTAAATCCGTGAAAAGCTTGTTCAAGTTTTGAAAACTTGTTTGTTGATGGACATGGAGGTGGTCTGCAATTCCTGGTGTTCTTAATTTTGAAAACAAGAAGACGATCTGTAAGTCGCTGTAGTTATACAAGACAACCAACTTAAGACTCGTACTAAGAGAAACGTCGGTGCCAGAGCTTGCCCGTTCAACAATTTCCATGGAAGCGTGAGCAACTTTGTTTCGTACTAAATGGCAATCTCCAAGCATTCCCTGCCCCTTTGAGGCTTTCGTGCAGCTGTTGGCTGAGTGCTACAGGTCATCTAGTTCTTATGTGTAAGCAAATGTCAGATGGAGGTCGGCGGTTCCTCCCTTGCGGCCTAGTATATAAGCTGTTCCATCTAGTTCTGATTGATCCATTTGCATAACATAACCCTCACTAAAATCTCATTGAAATATTCGAAAATCCAGAAAAGTCAGCTGATTGAAAATAGAAACAAGCAAACAATTCGATATAGCCCTAATCAAGTTGGCACAGCCTTTTCCGCAAGAAGAACTTCCAGTCTGACGAGCTCAAACAATGCCGCCATCCGGGAGGTAAGGCATGGTTTCCAGGAGGCTCAATCTCCCAGTCCGCCCCAACAGTGTCTTGCCGCTCATCGAAACAAAGGTCTCGCGTCCCTCGCGCAAGCAACCAAAGCACTCAGATACGCAAAGCCCGTCTTGAAAGAGCCCTCTATAGCCCCTCTACATGCAAAGATCACCGACGTCCACGACACAACGTCCCGGCATTCTTTGGATGATTCTCTTGGATTCCTGGAGATTCCCGCGGTGGAAGAATGCCGCCAGGATGGAGTTGAGACGATGTCTCTCTCGGGCATGAGAGCGAGGATTTCTTGGGCGAGGCCCAGATGCCCTTGTTGGGTATATCCCGCAAGGAGTGAGTTCCATCCTCAAGGTGCCCTCTTGATGGCGATCATCGTGTTCCCAGTCACAAGATCGCGCTGCTGGAGCCTGGAGAAGATCTCGCGCGCTTGAACCAACCTACAAGGAGGCCCAAGATTGCATTGGAGGAGCGGGCATAAGCCAGGATACAAGTTGTCCCAGAACATCTCGCCAACTCATCGCCAGAGCGGATCGGAGAAGACACGGCCACGATATAAATTTCTTAGCTTGATTCTTTCCATTCTTTTTGTAACGCAGAAGATATGAAACAAAATTTTGTGCGCTATAATTATATATAATAATCAAGGAAGAATCGTTAGAGGATTTATATTTTTCTTTGTCTTGTTCTTACTCCATGGAATCCATTTTTACATGTTCACAGACACAGGGATCAACCAGGACGAATTTTACGTTCTTCCCAAAGACAATGCTAGTTGTTCCAAGAATCCAAGTTTTGAAAGCTTGTTTGTTGATGGTGGTGGAGGGATGTTCTTAATCTTTGAAAGCAAGAAGACGAGTTGGATGTCAACTCTGTTTTAAGTATCCAAGATAATTGGTGGCATCCACCTTGGAAGGGGACTGGACGAGCACGAAGCAGAGTAGCGCAACGAACACCAAAGCTCTCACCATATTGAACCTTTTGTATGAAGTGGGTTGTTGAATGTTTTGTGCTCGTATGGATGCTTGGAGATTGCCATTTATACTATACGGCGTACAAAACAAAGTTGCTCACGCAATTGCAACTTCCATGGAAATTGTTGAATGGGTAAAGTTCTGACACCGACAGTATGAGTCTAAGTTGTGGCTCTTAGTTGCCGTGGCAGCATCCTGGGCCCTGTGGCTGTGACTGGTGAATAGCTCTGCATCTTGAACGTCCTGTGAATCTGTAGATATTTTACAGAACTTTATGGACGAACAGTTGGAGAATTGAAAATCAAAAATCATGTATTGTTTATGAGTTGATAAAATAAACTCAAAGACAATGCATATTTATTCATGTTCAGCTCATTACTATATGAATAGCAGTAACAGGTCAATTAATGATTGACATTGTTTCTGGTGTATGTTCATATGATAATGCGAACAAGTGGATAATCCTATGTCTCGTACTTAATTTTGAACCCCTTGAACGTGACTGGTCCAGAGCTGCCTCTAGGAACAAGAGTGACAACAATGTAGTCTGCATCTTCCAGCCCTAGCTGCTCTAGCGTGTCACTTATTCCTAGCCTCACCTCCGTCTCCATAATGTGCCCCTTCCCTGCAGAGTTGGGAACGTTCACAAAAGTTCCAGCAAACTCCACCACATTGACCGGCGTGTTTTCATTCGCATTTGGATAGTTGATGTAGACATCGAATTTGGTGGCCTTGTTGTAATCCAGCTCCACTCCTTGGATCACCAGGATCTCCTCAACTTCATCATCATCATCATCATCATCAGATTTATCACCACCTCCACCTGAGAACAGGGTTGGCAGGTTATTGAGCGGCACGTAACTGAACATCCTGAACAAGGGCCCCAGCGCCTTGTTCAGCCTGGTCAGCTTGTTCTTCAGTGGCCGCTTCACCTTAGTGCTGAACACACTCTCCAGTTTCTGGATCTTGCCGCTCACTGCCTCCCCGAACTCTTCAATCACATCAGCCGCTGCAGTTGGAGGTGAATCTGGCGAAGCAGAGACTAGAGGCTTCGAATTCGCTCCAGCAACGGTGGAAGGCCGAGCAGTCACCCAGGCATTGTGGATGTCCTGGTAACGGTACCCCAGCTGCTCCGTTTTAAGCGCATCCCGGACCCGAACCCGAACCAGGCGCCTTTTCTCATCGTAGAACAAGAACGTTGCATTGAGCCAATCCGGATCTTTGTAATCCCTTCTGGGGCGGAAGGGCCCCTTCCTGTTGCGCGGCAGCGTCTTCCACACGGTCCACAATCGGTCGAGGTTGGCGTGGTGAGGGTAGAAGATGGGATCCCTAGCCGCGGAGTAGAACACCCCCATGTCTTCAAAATGGGGTTTCCCGCTGCTCCCCGTCCATTTGTGAACAGTGTTATGTGGGGCACTTTCTATTGTTCCTAGTCCATCCGGCTTACTGTCACCTGGGTGGTACTCCTTACCATAAAACAATCTTGTCGTTCTGGCGTTCACAAGCTGCTTGTACATGAGCGCGTTGTTCTCTTCGCGCTGCTTCGAATCGCTGATCGGGGCACCATCGCCAGGGACGAAATTGAGATCCGCGAGCCGGGGCGGGAAATGATCTGGATTGCGGAAATCGTCAAACAGGACAGGATTGGTCAAGTACATCTGCGGGATGACATTCGGCAGTGGATCTGAAGCGGATTGATTGTCCCAGTTCCAGAACGGGAGCGCGAAGGTGTCGTCTTCGATCAAACTGGCCAGGATTCGCTCGTGGAAGTAGAGGAACCAGCGGTGCCAGGGAAAGAAGAACCAGTTCCTGTGGATGTGGAGCCTTTCGGTGCTGTTGGCGTACAAGAATGCGCCATCGCAGTAGGCACAGTGGACATTGGCTTGCTGGTCAAAATTGCGGGGATCGTCCGGAGGAAGAGCTTTCATCAGCTCGTAGGCTCGAATGTACTTGGCGATGTAGTCCGAGCTGAGGAGGTGAACGGGCTGCCTCAGGCGACTGGGGAGCTGGGTGTTGTGGACGAAGTCGACAACCGATGTTGTGCTTCGAGGCGGGCAGCAACCGACCTTTCCAGCTGGAGTTTCAGCTTGGGTGCACCACTCTAGATCAATTGTTCCGTTGTCAATGGGTCGTGCCCATGCTTGCTGCTCCTGCTGGAGACTCCCAGTCGCTAGGCCCAGGGATGCCTCTCTTCTTCCTGTTGCTGTGGAAAGTAAAAGAAAGCACAAGATTTGAACTGGAAAATAGAACTTGGTCACGAGAAGCCTGGATAACAAACTTTCGCCAACCATTCGGGGAAGAACATTGTTCAGAATCCTGGCGCTTGATGGTGTTCTTCCCATTTCCTCTTCTCGAGCTTCTGCTTTTTCTTCTTCCGCTCAATCTGCTCAATGGGAACTCAAAACATGCTCCCACTCAGCCTGACTCAGAAACACAGTGCCCTTTTCAGAGCCTCTGTGTTCGTTCATCAAATGTTTGAGTTAAATTTGCATTATGAAACATAAACCCTGAATTCATTTCTAATGGAGTTATCTCCAGTGCTTAGCTGAATGCGAAGCCAAACTTACTTCCTTTAAGGTACGCGTGTCATCGTCAGTTATAACTTTAAGGGTACAACGTTTGCCCACTAAATATGTTGAAGCTATAACCTCATATATGTATTATGTACCATACTACAAATTCATTGGGACATCTGTCTTCTTATAACATAAGGGTTTGAATCTCAAAAACTAAGGTGGCAAGAAAATTCAGTGAAATCAAATTTTCATTGAAAATTCACTGAAAATTCGGAAAATGATTAAATAAATTTCTTTTGTAATGTAGCTTGTAAGAGTTGGAGCACTGAAAACCTTCTATTAATAATGGCTAAAATTAATAACACAATTAGAGTGTAAGGAGAATTATAGCCAAAATTGAGCACATTGTGCACTAATTTTGTAATTAACCTTGGAAAAAGGGCAGTTGCTCAATGAGAGAGCCCTTAGTGGCTATTCCCTCAAGGTTTCAAGGATCCACGGTGACAGTATATCCAAATCTCATCCCATGATCATATCCCCCGTTCAAAGATGTCAATGTTCTTATTGACTATTGATTAACAACCCCTACTGAGCCAAAGGGAACCAGCACCTCCATTTTCGCACTCAATCTACCAATCCTTCTATTGTGTAGACTAGTTATTCCAAGGACATTGACTATTGACTAACAACCCCTACTGAACCAAAGGGAACCAACACCTCCATTTTCGCACTCAATAGTAGGGGCCAAAGGGAACCAGCACTTCCATTTCCGCACTCAATCTACTAATCCTTCCATTGTCACTCAATCTACCATTGTGTAGACTAGCTATTCCAAGGACATTAACAATCTCATCCCATGATCACATGCGCTACACTCACCCCCCCTTCAGAGATGTCAATGTCCTCATTGACTATTGACTAACAACCCCTACTGAGCCAAAGGGAACCAGCACTTCCATTTCCGCACTCAATCTACCAATCCTTCGATTGTGTAGACCAGCTATTCCAAGGACATTGACTATTGACTAACAACCCTTACTGAGCCAAAGGGAACCAACACCTCCGGGAACCAACACTTCCATTTCTGCACTCAATAGTAGGGGCCAAAGGGAACTAACACTTCCATTTCCACACTTAATCTACTAATCCTTCCATTGTCACTCAATCTATCAATCCTTCCATTGTGTAGACCAGCTATTCCAAGGACATTGACTATTGACTAACAACCCCTACTGAGCCAAAGGGAACCAACACCTCCGGGAACCAACACTTCCATTTCTGCACTCAATCTACTAATCCTTCCATTGTCACTCAATTTACCAATCCTTCTATTGTGTAGATCAGCTATTCCAAGGACATTGACTATTGACTAACAACCCCTACTGAGCTAAAGGGAACCAGCACCTCCATTTCCGCACTCAATCTACCAATCCTTCTATTGTGTAGATTAGCTATTCCATGTGAGGCAAAAATCCACCCCAATCCTTCCATTGTGTAGACTAACTATTCCAAGGCCATTGCAACCCCTACTGAGCCAAAGGGAACCAACATCTTCATTTCTGCACTTAATCTACCAATCCTTCCATTGTGTAGACTAGCTATTCCATGTGAGGTGAGCCAAAGGGAACCAGCACCTCCGGAACCAACACTTCCATTTCCGCACTCAATCTACTAATCCTTCCATTGTCACTCAATTTACCAATTTTTCCATTGTGTAGACCAGCTATTCCAAGGACATTGACTATTGACTAACAACCCCTACTGAGCCAAAAGGGAACCAACACTTCCATTTTCGCACTCAATCTACCAATCCTTCCATTATGTAGACCAGCTATTCCATGTGAGGCAAAAATCCACCCCAATCCTTCCATTGGTGTTCCATTTCCGCACTCAATCTACCAATCCTTCCATTATGTAGACCAGTTATTCCATGTGAGGCAAAAATCCACCCCAATCCTTCCATTGTGTAGACCAGTTATTCCAAGGACATTGCAACCCCTACTAAGCCAACCCCTACTAAGCCAAAGGGAATCAGCATCTCCATTTCCGCACTCAATCTACCAATCCTTCTATTTCCGCACTCAATCTACCAATCTTTCCATTGTGTAGACTAGTTATTCCATGTGAGACAACTAGTTATCCACCCGTACCGCAGTCCCACGGTGGATACCTTCGTACGATTTTCAAATTTAGGGGTAGGAATATACCTTGCTCAAGGGTAATCAATGAGAATCGAATCCGTGTTATTTGCTTCGATACCAACTATAACACACTTTATCTCTCTCCCCTTAAGCCAACTGGAAAAGGGGCAATTTCTTGATAAGAGAACCCTTAGTGGCTATTTTATCCCCATTTATCCCCCAAGGTTCCAAGCTCTATGGTGACAGTATATCCAAATCTCATCCCATGATCACATGCGCTACACTTAGGTCCTTTTTATATTATTTACAAAAAAATTTATTCTCATGAGTTTCCATAGTATTTTCTTTGTAATAACAAAAAATAAAGACTAGATAAGCTTGGATAATTATGTAGCAATCTTATCATAAACTGACATAACACATTTATTAAGATGAGAGTTTTCTTGACATAAATTTTATGTATGTGGCAATATATGATCTGATCACTTTTTTTTAATTGTTTGTAGTGTTCACATTCAACTCTGTTGTTATTTACTTAATTAAATTTTAATAATATTAAAACAAATGCTACAATGCCATAGTATATTATAGTTTTTCTATTTAGGCTGCAATCAAAATTAAAATTTCAATTAATTAAAAATTCAATTGATAACATACTACAGCTACAAAATTTTGTTACATTATTGTGCTTGAAGTGCAATAATCATGATAAACCCTAACTTGCTAGTAAACCCTAAACCTTATATATAAATAAACAAGAAATAAGCTGCTATAGTCATGCAAGATAAGGTTTTGCTTAACTTGGGTGAAGTTTAATTCAAAGTGTCAGTTGACAAGTGTTATTCCAAGAACATCTCGTGGTATGGGGTGATCCGCTGGAACTTATTCTTGAGCATCTGAATTGGAGGGTTGGGATTTTTGTTTTGGACAACAGCTGGGCAACTGCAAAGGGAGAGCTTGAAGCCATGTATCCATGCTTGGTAGTGGACATTGCTTTTGTCACATTGTCACTGTTGTTAAATGCTTAAATTTATGGTTTGCTCTGATAACACTCAGTGAGTTCTTCCTGATCAGCCAGATTACGACCTTTTCCAATATCATCATGTCATGTTCATGACTATTTTTCACTTTGTGGGGCCATTTATGAAAACAGAAATCAAGAGGTCCACTCATCGGGCATCTGCAACAAGCGGGTCCTTGTTGAGCTGCGGGTGGCACTTAGTTGCCGTGGCAGCATCCTGATCCCTTTGGCTGTGAGTGGTGAATATAGCTCCACATGTAGCATCCATCTAGAACATCTTGCATATTTTGTGAATCTGTACATTTTTTTTATAGAATATTACAAACAAGCAGTTACGTTGTTTGATTTCCGATTCAAGTAAGTGCTGCTGCTTCTCTCGCGATACGACTGCATGATTGTTTTGTGGGATATATGAGTAGTAATGTTCATAAGCTGTAGGTATCCAACTTACTGTATCACCTATGAAAATTCAAGTCTAGATAAAATCAAGTCATAGACACTATTTATTTATGATTTTCATTTCTGTTCAGCTCATTACCATAAAGGATGTGAATAGGAACAGGCTGCGATGTAAGAGAACACAACTAATGATTGACATTGTTTGACTATCGTGTATCTTCATCTTCACATGATAATACGAACAAGTGGATAATGGTTATCTACCGCTTACAAGGAACACCATGCTTGTGGTTAGTGCTAGTCAAGTCAGCAGAGTTATATATATAAGAGTTTCAAGAGTCTTTAATATAGGGCATTTTTGGGGCAACTGTCAATTTGCAATTCTCAATTCAGCTCCAGCAACAATTCATGGTACGGAGTGAGCCATGTGCGGCGATAAGCATTAGTTAAGGAACTGCATAGAAAGCTTAAAGCCGTGTATCCATTATCAATAGAGCATATTGCTCTTTAGGCATTCGTGACCATAATGCAACATGCTTAAATTTAAGTTTTTTTAGCCAACCAGCAGGGATCATCCAGATTGAGGAACCGTCTTCACAATATTCAACAAAATTCGTGCAAGACTTTTTTCTTTCACATGTTTCATGATGTGAAAGCATACCAGGAATTACACGCTTTAAGTTAGCTTAGGTTTCGGAACAATCTGGCCCTTATCAGTAAGTGGTCCACTCAACGGGCATCTACAGCGAGCGGGTTATTTGGTGAGTGGATGGGATGTTGTCTAGAGGGATGTTGTGATTATGTGGTTAGGAGTGATTTTAGTTGCATCTGATAGTCACAGTGAGCATTTCCATGACGACTCTGCACCACGTCTTCTATCAGATGTGAATTCATAGTTAGAGATCCAAATTTCCAAAAGCAAGAACATTTTCAGGCAGCTAAACTCAATAGATTTTCAGTCATGGATTCCACACTCGTAATTGAACAAGGGCCCCAGCGCGTAATTGAGCAAGGTGTTATTGTTATTGAGCCTGGCAAGCTCAAGGTCGACTGGCACATTCCAATCTTGGCGCAGATCTCGTCGTCATCGAGCACAGCTTCCAGATTTGCCAACACCTGTGGCCCATACTCCACCACCAGCAGCTTGCACTGCACAGAAACATGTCACACTCGCCTCCTTTAAAAACCAGCTCGAATTGCCATTACCTCATCCTCATGGTTGTGCAATTTCTGGCAGTTGGCCAGCAGGAATTCAATCAGCTTCTCCTGGTTGGTGATCGATCAAAGCACAAAAGCATTCAAGACGATAGCTTGGAAACGGTTTTCTTCTCGTCTCATGAACAGTGTTTTTGGATGTTTCAAGGAGAAAGGTGGCTTCAAGGAATATGTGCTTGAGATATGTAAGGTACAAGTGAATGATTAGTTGCCATCTTTAAAGGGTGAATTAAATTTAGATATACTATCACTATGCATACTCGGGTGGCAATTGTACAAGTGACTATCAATTCATCAACAGCATAGGTTGTACCAACTTGTTTTCTGGTTTTCGGGACTTATGACCATCGCAAGAGACACCAATGCTTGTAACTCGGGTGTCGGATGGCAAAGTGCCCTAATTGGCTGAAGTGTTAAGGAATGGATACTGGTATCTATAATTGCCTAGCTAAACATTGTGATGCGTTCTCGTGAATCTCATCAATAAAACATCCAGTACTTTTATGAATTGGCCTTTGTGTAACTAGCAATTGCACTTCGAGATGTGATAACTTATAAGTGGTCTGCCCTACCCCTTTCACTCCTGAAATAAGGCTTTCGTGCAGAGTGTTGCAGGTCATCTAGTTCTTATGTGTAAGCAAATGTTGGATGGAAAACTCCCACTGTCACAAACATGGATCACGATCAAACGCTCGAATTTCGTTGAAGTCTCGTTGAGCCTCTTCTGAAAGAAGGAAAATCCGAAAATCCAGAAAAGTCAACAATTAGATATAATTTGACTTCACTGACTGAAATAAAACCAGGATAAGGATGGTGTGGGGTTTGGCGAAGGTCCGGATTCCGGAACAATCCACTTGCGAAGAAATCTTGTTCCAATTCTGTGCAACAAGAGGACGTTAAAACAGTGTAAGAACTAACGTTCAGGGGCGTCTGAAAGAATCAGTAAGTGTGAACTCGATCACAAAGAAACTCTTGAGTGTTGATGCAAAACTGAAGATCATCGCCACCACCTAGCCAAAAGTAAAGCACGCCGCACCCGACATCAGCTTAGTCAAGCTTGGAAAGTCGCTTCCAAACCAAGTCCGCGTACTTGGAGAACTACAAGATTATTTACACTCGTTTTCCTTTGCTCGAAACTAATAACTAAGAAGCACTGTTTCAATTGAAGCAATTGGTAATCAAGTTGGCACAGCCTTTTCCGCAACAAGAATGCTTCCCAAAACTGCGCAGTCTGACGAGCTCAAACCATGCCGACTCCTTTGCGAGCCGAGAAATCCCCGGCGAGCAGCGCCATCCGGGACGTAAGGCATGGTTTCCAGGAGCTCTCTCGCCTGGCTCAATCTCCCAGTCCGTCCCAAAAGATCCAGCATCGAGCAGTAGTGTCTGGGCTGAGGCTTGACTCCACAGTCGCCGCTCATTGAAACGAAGATCTCGTGTCCCTCGCGAAGCCGCCCTGCGTGGCTGCAAGCAACCAAGGCACTCAAATACGCAACTTGGTCAGGGAGAAGCCCGTGCTGGATCATCTCACGAAAGAGATCAGTCGCTTGCGCTCCATCGCCGGACTGGCTACACGCGGAGATCACCGACGTCCACGACACAACGTTCCATTCGGGCATTCTCTGGAAGATCCTCTTGGATTCCTGGAGATTCCCGCGGTGGGAGAATGCCGCCAGGATGGAGTTCCAGGAGACGATGTCTCTCTCGGGCATGAGAGCGAGGATTTCTTGCGCGAGGCCCAGATGCCCTTGTTGGGTATATCCCGCAAGGAGCGAGTTCCAGGTCCATAGCTCCCACTCGGGCATACTCTCCAGCATCCATCTTGCTTCCTCGAGGTGCCCTCTTGACGCCATCGCCGCGATCATCGTGTTCCAAGTCACAAGATCGCGCTGCTGGAGCTGGGAGAAGATCTCACGAGCTTTATCCAGCTTATGGCGCGCGACAAGGAGGCCCAAGATTGCATTGGAGGAGACGACGCTGGGCTCGGGCATGGACTCGTAAATCTGGATTGAATCCGCGACATCGCCCCTCTGTGCGAGCGCCTGGATCATGATCGTCCATGCCACAGCATTGCGTTCGGGCATCTTGTCAAAGAGATCCAGGGCGGCGGCGAGATCTCTTGCCGCAAGACAAGCCTGGAGCATCGTCGCCCACGACACGAGATTGCGCTCTGGCATTTGGGCGAAGATCAAGCGAGCGCCACGAGCGTGATGATCTCCTTTCTGGGCATATGCTGCAAGCATAGTGTTCCAGGAGATTAGATCGCGCTCCGGCATACGATCAAACACCTCAATCACCCCATCCAGATCGCCAGTTTGCGCACAGACTGCCAGGATTGTGTTCCAGGAGACCACATCGCGCCTGACCATGGCGGCAAACAGCTTCTTTGCCTCGAAAAAATGCCCATTTTGGGCATACGCCGCGAGCATCGTGTTCCAGGAGAAGAGGTTCCACTCTGGTGCCGCATCAAAGACATTCTTGGCCTGCTCGATCTTGCCGCTTGCGCTAAACCCAAAGATCATGATCGTCCAGGAGAAGACATTGCGATTGCTGATCCCAGCGAAGATCCCCCACGCAGCCTCCAGATCCCCGCACTTTCCAAACATCTCCACTGCCAGATTCGCAAGGAAGGTATCCCGGGAGAGATCGATCGCGGCAGACGCAAGGACCTCTCGGCCCCGTGCCAGATCTCTTCCATCGCCACATGATTTTAGGGCAGAGGCAATGCTTTCCCGGGAAAGAAAAGCATCTCGCATATTCCCAATACTTAAATTTTGCTCCTCTGTTTCCCTCTTTCTCTGTTCCTTGATTAGAAGTTACAGCGAAGAAAGCAAGATCCTTTCCTTGGGCGCGATTGTACGCCTTCGCGGAGCACGATATAATCACTCAGTCGCGATGGATCAATCAATTCGAGCCAATTCCTCCTCTTTCTCACCGCACTCTGTCCGGATCAGCGATGGCGAGGAGGAGAATGAGCAATATGGCTATGGCTGCCTTCAGTGGTATCACGCTCCTCTGTGGGATCGTGGTTCTGGGCACCGGGATCTGGCTCTCCACCAAGCACAGCACCGATTGCGTCCGCTTCCTCGAGTGGCCGATCATCGTCCTGGGCGTCGCCATCACTCTAATCTCTCTGGCGGGGATTGCCGGCGCGCTGACGATGAACGGTGCGCTGCTCGCATTCTACACCATCTTCATGCTCATGGCGATCCTCACGCTCATGGCATTCGTCCTCTTCGCGTTCGTGGTGACCTCGGGCCAGAACGGCCATGGATTGGTGGGCAAAGTCTACAAGGAATTCGAGTTCAATGACTACTCCGACTGGCTCCGGAATCGCGTCGAGGATCACAAGAGCTGGAGCCTCATCACCCTCTGCCTCCGCGACGCCAAGACCTGCGACGACATGGCGGAGAGTTACAACACCCTGGACAAGTTCAACATGGCGGATCTCTCAGCGGTCGAGGTAAGCTCATCGAGCAATCTAAAGTTTCTTTCTTCCGAGAGCGATCGATCGATCGATTACTCGTGTTGTGATCAGTCTGGATGCTGCAAGCCTCCCTTCGCTTGCAATTACCAGTGGAGGAACGCCACCAACTGGTTCCACGCCCTCACTCCGGATGCCAATCCCGATTGCCGGCGCTGGAACAACGACGATCTCTGCTTCAACTGCGATTCGTGCAAGGCGGGGCTGCTCCAGCAAGTGAAGAGCCGCTGGAGGACCGTGGCGATCATCGACGTGGTGGTGCTGGCGATCTTGATCCTCGCGTACGCCCTCGCGCTGAGCGCGTTCCGGGGCGCCAAAGCAAGGTAGTGACGATCGTCTCCCTCGTTTTGCATTGTTTGTGCGGTGTGGATATTTGTTTTCCAAGTGTGCAAGGAAGAATATTCTAAGGGATAAGTTCGAAATTTGAAAGTTTGCGCGCGCGTTTCCAGGTTTTAGGGCACGGGTTTTAAGAGCACATGCCGCTCAGTGTGCGCAGTTATGTTGCGCAAACAAACCGAGAGCTCCCAAATCTGGAACTCCTGCCATGATCAGGCGCTGCGGTAACTCGCGCGCGACAGAATCAGATGCTACTGCCGCGCCCACGCCAAGAGTTACAATCAAAACAAAAGACCACCAGAAAATTCGGTCAAAAATCTTGCGCACAAGACCCATCAATCAATCCGGTCTCTCGCACTGAACCCAATTGAATGAAATGAATCGAGGCCCCCTCCCAAATGTTTGTGCCCGGCCCCAAGAACCCTAACCGCCAGCCGGGGGGGCTTAACGAGAAACCGTTCAAATCCACAATCCAACGGCCCAGCATTAACTCCGGCCACGTGTCGCCAATGCCGGGGCTCACACTGCCCCCGCCACGCATCCGACGGCTCTGGGCTGGACAGGTGCCTCGACCGCGCAATGCCAATCCGACGGTGCACACTGTCCACGTGACACCGTCAGATGGCCATCCGACGGTTGCGACCGGAAAAGGAGAAACGTTTATTTTTTGTATTTGGCCTAAAAATATGAAATTTCACTTGTGGTGTTGGGCGAGGAGGGAAAGAGAGGAGGAGAAGAAAAGAGAGGGTGTGATCGTCTCCTTTGAGTCAAGGTATGTGTATTTTTGATTATTCAGAGGAAGAAGAACAACAACGCCAAACGATGATCACCGTGAATTCCAAACAGCAACAACAGCCAGTAGCCGCAGGGGTAATGGACAGGGAGCACGATCACGATCAGCGTGATCGCGACCAAATGGAGGATGACAACGTCATGGGATCCGTGAATTCATCGTCGGTGGAGGACCAGAGCTCCGTCAAGTCGGAATCCCTGTCGCCGCCCTGCCCAAACTCCAAGATCAAGATCATGTGTAGCTATGGCGGGAGGATTTTGCCGCGGCCGCACGACGGGCAGCTCCGCTACGTGGGCGGCGAGACGAGGATCTTGCTGTGGCAGCGGAGCATTTCCTTTGGGGAGATGATGGCCAAGCTCGTGGCGATGGTGGGGAGGAGCGTGGCGGTTAAGTACCAGCTCCCAAACGAGGATTTGGACGCGCTCATCTCGGTGGTCTGCGAGGAGGATTTTGGGAGTATGATCGACGAGTATCTCCGGATGGAGGGCCGAGATAGCAGCGCTCGTCTCAGGCTCTTCTTGTTCTTCATTCCGGCACCGACTCCACCGTCATCGTCCTCTCCCAGACTGAGCGAATCGAGATCTCTGGACCAGCAGTTCATCGAAGCGCTGAATGGAATGCCGGTGGCGAGCGGTGGAAACTCTGGTGCTGCTCCTCGGCCATCCAGAGCTCTCGACGAGGATCTCGAGTGTGGTCGTCCTGTGAAGCCGATCAAGATGCACAGGCAGCTCTCGGCCACGGACAGGATCGCGGAGACGGCTTCCGGCTCGCCTAGCAGCAGGAGAGTATCACCGCGGACGTCTCCAAGAGCTCCCGACGAGTGCCCCTCGGTGAGGAGCGCTAGATCATCACTCCTCCAGCAGCAGCTGCAGGACTCTCTCCACGAGCCGTGCAAGCAGCTAGCAGTAGCGACGAGGGAGAATTCGGCTGGAAGGATCCCGCAGGAGATGATCGAGCCGGTGATGATACACCACTACTATCCAGGCACCGATCCTTGCTCGAGACAGGTCTTCAGCAACGAGCCACCGACACCTCCGGACATGTCCAAAGTCGCCCACCACGAAGGAGAATCGCCCAAGAAGGCGGACCAGCACAGCCAAGATCTCCAGGCCGCCAATGGATTTATCTGCGTTTCGACCACCTGGTGCGCAGGAAGCGAAATTCTTGTCAACCGGCAGTACAGTCCTGCTGCCGTCCACCATCGCCACGGCCACCCGATAGCTCCAGCGATATGTGATCAGCAGCTCTACCCGGTGATGGCGTCCGCCACCGCCTGCTGCTCCTGCCGGGAGACGAGAACTTCCAAGCCTGGCCCTTCTCCATCTCGGTTCCGTGACGGACTCCAGCAGCAGCAGCAGCCACAGCAGCAGATTTTTCACGAGCAAGTTGACGACAACACCAGGATGTTGTTGAGGCCGGTTTTAGTTCCACAGCAGCAGCACCAACAGCAGCAGCCATTTTATGAGCCTGTCCACCACCATCACCGTCTTGTAGCTGAAAAGAATGGCTCGAGACTGAGCGATTTGGACAGGCGTCATCACTTGAATCACCACCACCACCATCACCCACAGCAGCAGCAGCAACATCAGCCTCCACCACCACAGCAGCAGCAGCAGCAAACAAGCTAGCCCACTCTGCTAGTTTTGATTGATCGTTTAGCTGCTTGCTTTACTCGTCTAAAACTTTCCGTGTCAGATCTAAGTATAAGCGATGAAATAGTTTGTTTCTTGTCCCTCGTCCTCCTGTGGCTGAAAAGAGAAGGATCATATTTCCCGGACAAAGCAATTTGGCAGTACACACCTGGCGAGCTGCTTGCGTCCGCTTTTGCCACTCCTATGGCTACAAACTCTAACAAAGCTTTGCCGAGTTTGTCTGCAGCCATGTTGCTTGAGGAGCTTCACTTGCTTTTCTCAGCTTGAATCTTCAACCACGTCGATCCCGGCCTCCTCGTAAGTTAAGATATCTGCATCCTTGTCGAAGAGGTCCCAATCCGGCTCTCCCCAGTTCATGAACGCTTTTGCTCGATCCAGTCTTGCATTCACGATGTCCCAGTTTACTAGATGCTCCAGGAATGTAGACACGTAGTCTGGCCTGTTGTTCTGCGGGATGTGAGTTAACATTATTAGCTCGAGAGATGGGAGAAACTCTAATCTATACTCACTTGGAAATCGAGATAGTAAGCGTGCTGCAAAAACCAAAGAAGCGAGCGAGTTAGATCCAAACAAAGAGAGTAAAAAAGTCTTTATACCTCCCAAACATCGAGCACAAGCAATGGCTGCAATCGAGAGGTAGCGGTGACATGTTATTCAAAGGAAAAAAGAGAGAAGAAAGAATTTCAAAGGCTTACAATGTGATCCCAAATGAGAGGATTAATAGCGTTTGGAGTTTTCTCAACGACCAGCTTCGCTTCCTTCACTGCAGGTATTCTCAAGTCACAATCCACAACAAAACGGATAAAACGAAAGAGATGAAAGAAAAAATAGGAACTCACGAGCAAGCCATGCCCAACCAGCACCAAATTGAGAAGCTGCCGCGAGCTTGAACTCCTTGACAAAATTATCGTAAGAGCCAAGCTGCTTGTCAATAAGCTCGGCAATCTCGCCAGTCGGAGATTTGCCACCTCCAGGCTTGAGAGAAGTGAAGAAGAAATCGTGATTCCAAGCCTGAAAAACAACAAAGACAGGTTATCATCAGCTCAAAGAAAAAAAAAAGTTCTTAGTCCGAGAGAAAAAGAAACAAGGAAGACAAAAGAGCTCGGTTCTACTTAGTCTGAGAGAAAGAGAAAAAAGAAGGAAGAAAAACGGAGTACCTGCGCTGCATTGTTGAATGCCGGTTGGGGGCTTCCTCTATTGTAACTTATCTTGACAATGTCTTCCAAGAGATAGCCCTCGAGCGGAGTATTTGCGATTTGCCTGTTTAGATTCTCAATGTATCCTCGCTGGTGCTTTCCCCAGTGGACCTCCAGCGTCTTCTTGCTCATGTAAGGCTCCAGCGCACTCTGGAGGAATGGATCCAGTGAGGAAGCTAAAACCCTAGACAAAACCCACCGATTCGTAGGGAAGCGCCGGCAATGCAAACTTCGCCCGCGCGATTCCGCCGCGGTTGCATTGCGATCTCTTCGACCCGCCGCGATTGGAAGAAATCCGTGGAGGAGCGATGGAGGCGATCGCCGCCGCCGCCGTCGCGCAGCACCCGGGCGGCATAGCTTTGAAAATATTTCCCACTAAAACGCAAATTAGAGCAAGGTAGAAGAAAGAACCCTAGGTCCATTTTAGCCCTAATTTGAAACCCTAATTTGGGGAAGCGAGAGCGAGGGCGAGAGGGAGGGATAGCGCTCGCGGAATCGCAATGTCTGGCGCGATCGACAATTGGGGCGGCGACAAGGGCAATGCGGTGGAGGCGCGGCGCAAGCAGCCCAAGCATCTGTGGCGGATGAAGAACAACCAGGTCGGTAGCAGGCTCCAGGGGAGATTGGCGTACGAGCCGCCGCGGCTGAGCGATCTCCAGCACCAGAATCGCGTCAAGGCGCGGAAATACTTCCCAAAGAAGAAGTCCGCGCAGTCCCAGGCACAGGAGCACCCTCACGCCCCAAGAAACACGACCTCTTTCATCATGCGCGCCAAATGCTCCGGAGGGATCGCTCCCCCGACTCCGTCCACGCCGGCTGTGATCTCCACCCCGGATCTCTCCGGCGTGGCGTCGTATCGCGAGGGGATCACCGAGGAAGTGAACAAGGAATGGGGTGTCAATGGCTATGGCTCGATGAATGGTCTCATCCGGCTCAAGGAGGACAGGATCGACGACTCGGACAGCGAGAGCGACGTGGATCAAGGCGTGCAATCCGTCCAGCAGCTAGAGCAGCGCCTCGATCAGGACCTCAACCGGTTTGAGATCCTCTACACGCCAGGAGCTGGCGATCAGGATAACTTCTCGCTGGCTGGGATGCAACTCCACGATCAAGAGAACCATATTGCGCATCTGGAAGAGGAGAACTTGACGCTCAAGGAGCGGATCTACATCCTGGAGCAGCAGCTGGACGAGCTCAAGCAAAAGTTGGCGCAGCAGCAGAATAGCGAGAGCGTGGACGAGATGGAAGTTTGCTCCAGCGATGGAGCGACGTGAAGAGGCCTCTTTCCTTTCGGGATTTCGACTCCTCGATGGGAAGCGATCGAGAATCGAGAATCGAGAAGGGTGGTGACGATCCGGCAGGGAACGAACGAACGTTACGCAGCTTTTGATGGTACTTAACCTTGTAAGCTTTTTAAGTATGTGTCTACTAAGTTACTCTCTGTACAGCTCTGATCCATCCATCCGAGGTAAAAAAAGTTCTCTTGTTTTTTTTTCTTTCCTCTCTCTTTGCGTCTCGTGGTACTTTTGTGATTAAAGTTTCTGGGATCTCTTTTCGTTCAGCAGCAGTGATTCTGGATCTTCTCTTCTTTTTTCAGCAGTGTCTGCACTCTCTCACTCACTCAGTAGTGTGTTTTTCTCAGTCACGATTGACACTTCTCAGATTAATTGCTTGCAGGTGGTTCGATTCTGTCTCCAAAAAATCTTATTGCTTGATCTCTCGCAAGCTCTATCGAAGCAGACAAAACTCCGACTTTGCTCTCTCCTGGACTATAAAGACGAATCGCATTAAGACGATACGTATCAGTCATGAATCGAGAGACCACGAGAAAGGTCTTGCGTATATTTCTTGTTGATTTTCCTTGTTTAAACTTCTCTTTCGACGTCTAGCTGGTGCTGGTCGGATAGTATCTCGATCGAGATTGTTGTTTGGTTGGCTTGTTTGATGGATTAAATGGATTGCCTCCTTGTTTGTTTGCTGGATGTTCTCACAAAAACTTATCGCCCTTTCCAAGATCTGATCCGATCTGTATTCATCTTAATTTCTGAGAGATGTTCAAAGAGAAAAGAGGCTAAAATTCCTATGAGAAATTCCAGAAATCAATCCGTACTGAATGTGCTATAACTTGTCAAAACTCGGAACAATGCTCCAAACACTTCAGAGAATTTTGAAATTATAAAGTTGCACTCTTAAGAATGGAAGTTCTTCTCCCAAGACCGAGAAATCTGTGAACCAGTATCAGAGCCTGAAACCAGCTCGATGGGATGATTTAAACAATCGAAACACACAATAAAATGTATCACATTTCGTCGCTGGACGATGCAGATTCTAGAACAAAAGTCTTCCATGGTTGTCATGTCCCTCCCAAAGCTATACTTTTTAGATCTTCTGTTGCCTTAAACACGTTGTGATCTAGCTTCGTATCTTATAAGTCTTTCATTGAATTATAAGCCTTGGGAAAAATAAGACTGAGAAATCAGAAAAAGAAAAGTTATTTTATTGTAAGTATAAAAGGTGGGATAAGCGTGGAAGTTGGGGAAGTTAGATAACTTCCTCTTGTCCATTTCAGCTGAATCCCGTGGCCATGCCGGCTGAACGGTAGTTAGGGCACACAGCATCCAAGTTCGCTTGGAAACCTTCTCTTTCATTCAACGCGACAACACCCAAGTCCTCTCCCCAGCACACAACCCTGCAGAGATGAGAGAGATCCTCCACATTCAAGGCGGCCAGTGCGGGAACCAGATTGGAGCAAAGTTCTGGGAGGTTGTGTGCGATGAGCACGGCATTGATCCCACCGGGACTTACCACGGCGACTCCGACCTCCAACTGGAGAGGATCAACGTCTACTTCAACGAGGCCAGCGGCGGACGCTACGTGCCGAGAGCGGTGCTCATGGATTTGGAGCCGGGTACCATGGACAGCGTGAGGTCGGGGCCGTATGGACAAATCTTCCGGCCAGACAACTTCGTCTTCGGCCAAACCGGAGCTGGTAACAACTGGGCCAAGGGACACTACACGGAGGGCGCGGAATTGATCGACTCAGTGCTGGACGTTGTGAGGAAGGAGGCCGAGGGATGCGATTGTCTCCAAGGCAAATCCCGCAAAACCCACGATCAAACTTGTCAAGTTCTTCGCTTGAATCTGTGCTTGCTTTTTCCTGTGTGCCAGGTTTCCAGATCTCCCACTCCATGGGAGGCGGGACTGGTTCGGGGATGGGGACGCTGCTCATCTCCAAGATTCGCGAGGAATACCCCGACCGGATGATGCTCACCTTCTCCATCATGCCGTCGCCCAAGGTGTCGGACACGGTGGTGGAGCCGTACAACGCAACGCTGTCCGTACACCAGCTGGTGGAGAACGCGGACGAGTGCATGGCGCTGGACAACGAGGCGCTGTACGACATCTGCTTCCGTACGCTCAAGCTGACGACCCCCACATGTACGTCAGAGGCCGTTGACACTGTCGGGTCGTAACCATTGACTTTGATGTTTGCTTGCAGTCGGCGACTTGAACCACCTGATTTCGGCGACCATGAGCGGTGTGACCTGCTGCCTGCGGTTCCCCGGTCAACTCAACTCTGACCTCCGGAAGCTGGCGGTCAACCTCATCCCCTTCCCGCGCCTCCACTTCTTCATGGTGGGATTCGCGCCGTTGACCTCCCGGGGGTCGCAGCAGTACCGCGCGCTGACCGTGCCCGAGCTCACCCAGCAGATGTGGGACGCCAAGAACATGATGTGCGCCGCCGATCCCCGCCACGGCCGCTACCTCACCGCCTCAGCAATGTTCCGTGGCCGCATGAGCACCAAGGAGGTGGACGAGCAGATGCTCAACGTCCAGAACAAGAACTCGTCCTACTTCGTGGAGTGGATCCCCAACAACGTCAAGTCGAGCGTGTGCGACATCCCTCCCAAGGGCCTCAAGATGTCGGCCACCTTCATCGGGAACTCCACCGCCATCCAGGAGATGTTCAAGCGGGTGAGCGAGCAGTTCACGGCCATGTTCCGGCGGAAGGCGTTTCTTCACTGGTACACTGGCGAGGGGATGGACGAGATGGAGTTCACCGAGGCCGAGAGCAACATGAACGACCTCGTGTCCGAGTACCAGCAGTACCAAGACGCGTCGGCCGACGAGGAGGGAGAGTTTGAAGAAGAGGGCGCCGAGGCCTAGGCGGCGTGTGATCATGTCCAAGCACCATGGGACAATTTTCCTGTTCTTTGTTACCGAGCTAGCACCACAGTTTCAAAGATAGAGCAAGAGATTAGCAAGAGTTATGCTTTTAAACGAACTTGTTTCCTGAAAACAAAGCTTATTCCAGGCGACTTTTACATTCCGAGCACCATTTTCATTTGATTCTCCCAGTGCTCCTTAACTTTCTGGACGCGTTCCACGCGTTCTTTCTTCAGTCTCTCGTCCCAATAATCCCCAATTGAGAAAGACTTTTGCACTTGCCCAAATAAAAGAAACTGAAAACCAACCTGTTTCTGATCATCAAGTTCAACTCCGTGAGTAAAACCGCGGTCAGGTACACGCCAGGCTGCACGATGGGAGTCAAAGAAAAGAAAAAAAAAGTTCACATGCTAACTGTGCGTTGATAAAGTTTTTTTACCTGTCGACAAAGCGGACACTTAGCCTCCTTGGTGGCAGACTTGACGCCTTGAATAGTTGGAATGGAGGCCGGAGAACAAGCACAGGTACTGCAAAAGAGATGCCCGCAGCCCAGAGCCACTGGATCAAACAGTGTTTCCAATCGATCTCGTCTTACCAGACAGATCGAGCATGTAAGATCCGCTTCAAAAGCTTGCGTAACTTGCGTAGCTTATGTAACTTATCCTCTCCCATAGGACTGGCACACTGCTCTTGTGAATGTGGCGATTCCAAGGCTACTCTCCAGAGTACGCTCTCACCACTGCGCGCGCTACTCTCGCCATTTTTCCCATCCTTCTTAACCTTGAGGCCATTTTCACCTTTCTCACCATCCTTTTCATCCTTGAGGTTGATGTAGAGAGCAGTTAGCTCGATCAGCCATGGGGACTGGAGGAGCTCCTCGTGCATGGATTGCAGTCGTGTTTTAAAAGCTTGCCCTGCTATTGAGCAATGCACCTGGCCATCCAAGTAGCGAAAAAGAAGCAAGTGAGGCTCCGTGCTAGCAAAGAAATACCTTGTCATACTTCTTTAGTATCTTGCGCATGGCCATGGCGTTCATCGAGGATAGTTTACCAAGTTTCTTCCCTGATGGACCATCGTGTCATGATCTCTGCCAAAGTTGTGCCTCATGCGCAGTAGCATCCTCTGTAACTTGGGAGAGAGGTGGAATTCCAGGAGCTGCTGTGTGCAAGATTTGAAACAGCCCGAAATCTCCTGGAGCAAAATTGGGGAAAAAATTACTGGTGATAAAGAAAACAAAAGAAAACTCAATCGCGATGAGAATGTGAGCTTTACCTGGACACGCGATGGGGCCATTGCACGCCACAGACGATGGATCGCCGGCCGGTGGCGCCTTGAGGAGCTCTTGGCGGACGAAATGCTTGAGAGTATTTTTGTGGCGCTTGAATTCCACGCACGAGCACCCCTTGAGAAGGCGACCATCCAGAGACTTCTTCCACTCGGCTGCTTCCTTGTGCTGTTCTTGCTTCCAAAGCTCGCTCCACGTGATCAGGACATCCCTCGCAATGGGATATTGATTTTCCCTGTGTCTTTCCACTAAGAAGATTTTAACACTTAATAAAATTACACCATGTCAGATCTTCTATTATCCTAATAAATGAATCCATCTAGTCACGTGTGGGTAAGTGGCAGGCGCCCAATTTTCTTGTAACCAATTGCTATGTAATAAAAATTTGTCACATGGCTTATCAATGCTGACTAGTCACCATGTCAAAATACTAGTCTATTCCTCCCTCTCCAATCTTTCTGATGTTTCAAAAGTTGAATCTTGCTAGTGAGGGCTCCTTTCTATACATCTAATGCACCAGAAAAAGGATTCCAACAAGCTACTTTATGAATCAAACTAGAATTCAAATTTGAACAATGAGTCATAAGTATTGCAAACTCAAACCTGCTTATGTGGCAACTTAAAGCTACTAAATAGAATATATCACAATTTAAAATAGTGGCCAGACTTAGTATACTTTAGAAGGTACTTTAGCTAAACAAACTTAAAGTGACAAGCTCTAATAGAATGCAATCTTCCAGCTAAAAACTACTAACAGGTGGAAAGAGGGAAAGAGGGCCTAAGTTAAATGGCAGCTCTAACCTCTGTAGTAGTGAAGTATTGATTTCTTCTTTTACTATTATTTTGGGTTAGTGCAACACCATTGATTGTTTCATGAGCATAAACACTAAAAAGGTTTTGTAAGCAATTAAAAAGAACAATTTGAGAAATGATCCATAAAAAAGGTTCAAATATAAAGGGATAAAGCTCATGAATAAAAGGTGCACCTTTTTTTTAATTGGTTAAATATCTTGGGATATTTAGATTTAGGTAATACTAACCTCCCAAGAAGTTGAAATTTAAGAGCTTTTAAAGGGCTATTTGTTGGCTAGGGGAATCACACTATATATTGAAATTAGTTCAATTTAATCTAATTAGGCTCGATTGAAGGGGTAAGGTGTTAAGAGAATGAGGCTCTTGGGAAAGTTACAACTTTCATCTTCTATTTACAAGAGCATGTTTGTAAGGAAATGTAATAGATTCTAAGTAACAAAAGATAATAACTCAAGAAATGAAATTTAAATATGAAAGAAAAAAGTTTATGAATAAGAGTACACCCTTTTTTTCTTTTTACTGATTAAAGGTCTTTAGATTTGAATAGTATTAGGTTAGATGACCTTTCAATAAATTCAAATTTAAGAGTTTATAATTTTTTGTTGCAATCTTTGACAATTC